AATTCTAATGGTGGTAAATTTTTAACTTCTTTTATTTTTCTAACTAGTTCCATATCTGACTGATTAAAATATTTTTGTCATTTACTAGATAACTTACTATACAATGGTCCTACTTTCTTTCCTAAATCTTTAATAAAATTTTTAGCATAATTCAAAATTCTTAAAAATGTTTGTAATTTTTTAGTTTTTCTATTTTATCTGGGAACTGTAAAATTGTCTGTACTATATGTGGTTGCAATTAGATTTTTCATTCTCCTAAAATTATTCCTAAAAATTCATTTTTTCGTTTATTTATTTCTATTTTCTTTTTACTTATAATTAAACTGTTTTCTATAAATTTATTTGAAACTATTTCTAAATGCTGCATATGTTCTTTCTGATTTTTTACTATGTACCAAGATATCGTCTATATATATATATATGCAAATAAATGGAAAAGAATTAAAAATNTTTTACTTATAATTAGATCATTTTCTATAAATTTATTTAAAACTATTTCTATATGTTGCATATGTTCTTTCTGATTTTTTACTATGTACCAAGATATCGTCTATATATATATGCAAATAAATGGAAAAGAATTAAAAATACTATCCATCTTTCTTTGAAAAATTGAAGGTTCATTCTTTAATCCAAAATGCATGAATGACAATTCAAAATGTCCTAGTGGTGTAGTAAAAACTGTCCAAAGAATATAATCTTTAGCCATTTTTATTTGCCAGAATCCAGATTTACAATAAAATTTTGAAAATATTTTACTATTTTGTATTTTATTTATTAACATGTTTTTATCTGGTATCTTATATCTATCTTCTACATTATTATTATTTAATCATTTGTAATTTATAATCGTTCCTGCTTTGCCTCTTTAATTTCAGTAATGATTTCTAACCATAAAAGCTACAGATCTATGTTGACTACTGGATGGTCAAATTACCTTTAAATCTAATAACTCTTTAATCTGTATATTAAAGTCATCTATGTCTTGATTTGTATGTTTAATTTATGCGGTTCTTATTTTTATATTTTCATTTATGATTTCTAATTTAGCTTCAATTTTATTTTTATCCCAATGTTTTATGGGGTCTTCTCCTATTATTTGTATTTTTTCAGCTAATTCTAAAATTATGTCCATACTATCCACCTTAGATGTCAACGTGTCTAATTTTTATTTTTGTATTGGTTTTAGAGGAATGTCGAAATCTTTTGGCTCTTTTGTATAATAAAATATGGTGATAAGCTGAAATTATTATATTGTTATTTACAAGAGGTGGTCTAGAAATGAATTGAATCATTAGATGTTGATCTTTTAATTGACTAAGAATCCTGTTTAAGTTTAGATGGAAAAAATTTGAAGGATCTATGTAATCCAAAAGGCATGAATAATCATTTAAAATGTCCTAGTAGTGTAGTAAAAGCTGTCCAAGGAATATAATTATTTGCCATTTTTATTTGTCAGAATCTAGATTTGCAGTCATATGTAAAACGACGTCTCTCGATTATTTAGGAAATTATTAAAAATTTACGTGAAAAAAAATCGACGCCATACTTAAGTAAAAAATTATAATAAAATGATGTAAATTATATTTAGAAATTTGTTGCGCAAAATAATAAACATTAATAAAATAATTGATTTTTTTTTTAAAAGACGAGTTATACGTCTCTTTTTAACACACACGTTTGACATATGTTTAATTATTTTTGATGTTCATTTAAATCATTCGGTATATCTATGATATAGTTCTTGAAATGAGTTTTGAGAGGATATAGAAGATTTAGTAATAAGATTGAGCATTCATTTTGAAATGTACTGGAATGGATCATGTTAAATTGATTGCATAAATTAAATTTCACTTGAGTGCTGTACATAGTTATTTTGCCTCGGTTTGACATTTATTATATGAGGAAAAAATATTTCGAATAGCTATTTTTAAGTTAATGTGTGATTAAAAAGTAGGAAAAAAATTTGGATTTATGTACATAATATTTTATTGTATGAATGTGCGATTGAAAATGAGTACGTAGAATTTTTTTTAAAAAATAATTCTTATCAAACATGGGCTTAATCCTGAGAGGATAATGAATTTCAATTACTAACTTGAAGTATTAGTGAGTGAAATCAACTTATTGGTCAATGTCTCGATACTTGAAAACTAAAGTGAAATAACAAAGAATATATATTCATGATACGAAATCGGTAACCTAATAGATATTTAATAGGTACGATGATGGCATCACATATTTCTAGTAGACAATTAAATTTGAGCTCAATAATTCAACATTGATTGTTATATTGATGTTATGATGTGATCACATTATTATGCCGAATGGAAAATAACATTTGAGGATTTATGTAAATTTGATAAGATATTTTATTATTATTTTACCTTATTCCAAATATTTAACGTGATTTACGGGGTAATATCTAAAAACGATAAATCTAATAATATAATTATTGTTTATATAATTTCAGTTAGATTGTGAGTGCAATATTATTCTTTTGTATAAAATAAAACGAGATTAATAAATTATCTTGATTTGGTCAAAACTAATTTGTTGAAGCTTAGTTTAATTGGGTCCGATTAGGTACCTTCACTGACTTCATAATATAAATTGAAATAAATTATAATTTACAATTTATTATTTGCAAATGTGTTCTTTTTGACATTTAACACCCAAAACGCATTTTGAAAATTTTGACTTGATTATAACTGAAAATACTTAAAATGACAAATTTGTTGTTTTGAGTTTTCATTGTAAATTTTTAACTTGTTTTCAAAAATACGTTTTTGAAAATAGGAAAGATAATGCGTTTCCACTATTTTGGAAAATTGAAAATAAAAAACAGCTTGAAAATGATAAAGAGAAAATGCCCTAAAATTTTTCATTCCATTTAATGTGTTTCAAAATATATAGAGAATTTATTATTTTTTTATGATGCCCGGAATTTCACAGGCACTACAAGTTTATTGCAGGTATAAGATTTTAAGGACTTGATGAAGATAAATACGTTGGTGCAGAATCTCCTCATTGCTTAACAAATGTAGGTGGCAAATTCAGTGTATATTTGGCAAAGTTTTCAAGTGTTTATAAACTACGAGTACTATAAAATGTCTGGATAATAAGTGAGTAATAACTTATTCCCACGAAATGTATATTTGACCATCTTCATACAAATTTATACTTCGACTACAATCTGTCTCAGATTAAGCTACACGAGGATGAAAA